GGTGTGACCAGGAGAGGTGTGGGGGAGGCAGGTCAGGAGGGACAGAGGTGTTAGGGCCAGTTGGGGGAAGGCAGAGGCAGCCTCTTGGGGTCAGCAATTCAGCGACAGGGATGCCCCAAGGGGGGGGGGGGGCGGCAGACAGACAAAGGGGGCTAGGGCAGGGGGCTGGCTCCATGGGCCATGAAATATTAAAGAGCCTAGGCCAGTGAGGGACAGAGGTCATAGAAATAAGGAGACTAGCCAGGGAGCTACCGGGACCCTGAAGCAGAGGGCGCCTCACTCCCCACCCCCACCCCATCCCTCCCCACCACCTCCAGCAGAGCCAGTCTCCCCAACTCTCCTGCTGGGGCTCCTTTCTGTCTTCCCATCCAAAAGGAACAGGCTGAGGGTGGAAGGGGCCGTGGGGATTAGGGATGGCAGGGGACCTTTGCGGTTCCCTCTTCCCTCTGGCTGGTCTGTGTGCAGTCGGCCTTCCAGAACTGCCAGCTACCCTAGCAAGAAGGCCAGGAGGCCTGTCAGCACAGCCACTGGCACGGGTGCCTCCTGGGGAAGGAGGGGGTAGACATCTAGCTTCCCCTTTACAGAAAAAAATCAGCCAAGCCACCACTTTCCACAGAGACCAGCGGGGAGGGAAGTCCATGCCTCACAGCTCAGCTGAGCCAGCGAGTAAGCGAGCGAGCAAGCCAGCAGGTCATCCCCTCGCCCTCCCACCCCACCCAGGCCCCATTACCAGCCTCATGACCTTGGCCAGTCCCCTTGTTCCTGAGCCTGTGTCTTTGCCAGCCCCATACCACCGTAGGCTTGGTGTGAGGAAAGGAGAAAGAGGGCAAGCAATATGTTGAAAACCTGCGAGGGCGGGCCCCTGGGGCCAAGCATCTGCACGTGGATAACCCTCCCCTGTGTCCTGTGAGGTCAGGCCTCTTTATCAGTCCCATTCTACAGATGAGGAAGAGAAACCCAGAGACGCAGAGTGATGTGCCCAACATCACACACCTGGTAATGAGCGGAACGGAGACAGAAATGCTAAGGGTGAGGCACATATTATTTTCTTCCTTTTCACTGGGGGATGTGAAGTCCTCGTCACCAAAGAAGCCAACTTTTATTGCATGCTGTGGGTTAGCCGCTGGCGCTGGGCACTAAGCAACCGTCCCTGTGTCCACCTGAAAAGGGCTTTGTGAGGCAGGCACTCTTATTATCCCATTTCAGGGACAAGGAAACTGAGGATCAGTGAGACAACCCACCCAAAGGTCACATATCCAGCTAGACAGTGGCATGGCCAGAACTTGGGAGCCACATCTGGCTCCAGAGCCAGTGCTCAAACACACTTGTCTGGGTGAGGTCAAGGGAGGGCGTTAAAGAGGACCCAGTAGAGAAGAGCTCAGTGGTCCTACTGACCCCGAGAACACACACCATTAAAAGGTCGAAAACAAGGTTACAACTGCTGTGCTAGGGGGTGACCGGCAACTGCTCTGGAAACAGAACATGAGCGGAGCCCGTGGGAACCCGGGGTGAGGGCACTGCCTAGGGGCCTGGCATAGAGCGATCTGCCTGGTCTACCTAGAGCCCAGGTACCAGATAACGCAAGCCCCTCCCCCAGCATGGGGATACTGAGCCTCATCCAAAGAGGGCCACCGGAAGCCCGTCCTGTTGGTCCCCAGGGTTCCAACCTGCACCCCAGGGCCAGTGTGCCAGCAACTAATCACACCCCTGTAAGAGCCCCCAGTGCTGGCGGAAAGGGGGCAGGATCCCCTCCCTCTCTCCCAGGCCCCGCGAGCCCAGAGGGAGGCCAGCATCAGAGGCAGGAAATGAAGAAGAATTTGCGATCTAATTGAGCTGGCGGGGGATTAGGCAGCAGAATGCAATTACAGGGGCTGGAGCGGGTCCAGGGGCACTGACACCCCAAGATGTGGCCTGGCCCAGGTGACCGGGCCTAGCCAGTCTCTGGCAAAAGACACCCTACTGTGGAGGGAAGGTCGGGTAGGCAAGGACTGGGGCCAGGCAGCTCTTCAGGACATAGAGGACTGTAGACTTCCAGCTCCATGTCACACCCAGAAGCAAGAAGTTTTCCTGGGAATTCTCCCCCCAGGGGGCAGCCCTGTGGACTCTCACAGGGGGAGGAGGCAGACAGACACACCAAGAACATACACTCTCACAGGGTCTGCTCACGCATGTACACACGTGTTCACGCTCCCAGAAAAGCACCACATATCCACGTTCACTTGTATGGGGACAGACTCCCAACCTGCAGACACACAGCTCTGGCCCTTTGCTGCCACCGGTTCCACCAAAGCGGGCGGGGGGGGAGGGGGTACAAAACAGAACAAAAAAAATACACCCATGACCTTAAAATCCTTTTATTCCCATAATCACAGGCTGCCATCGCCGTGGATACGCGCTGTCACCCCGGCCCCAGCCTGTCTCCCTCCACAGCTTCCAAAACTCCCAGCAGGCAGGCAGACGGGGAGGCTGCCCAGTTACTGCCAGGGAGGGCAGAGGAGGGGAAGGACGGGGTGGGAGAGGTTCAATGCTACACACACACACTCAGGGCCTCAACCAGAGAGGGAGAGACTCAGAAAGACAGCCGGGCAGACAGATAGAGAAAGAGAAAGGAACACAGACACCAGCCACGAAAGAAAGACACAGACCACTCACAGCCCGCACAGCTCAGATATGCCCACTCCCAGATTCACACACCACTTTCCCAATTCAGACACACTACTCAGGGAGTCAGACTCTCCCAGATTTACAAGAATATACAAATCACACAGATATACACAAATCACGAGTACACACTCCAAAATTCTAAGCACATGCAACTCAGAATATGCACATTCCCAGATTCACAAGGGTAAATCCAACTTTCAGACAGATACTCAGATTCACAAACACACAAGTACAGATGCAATGCAGACCCACACAACTCTGAGACCCACGGATACACATGCCCTGATGCACAAATATACATAGGCGGAGACTCCCACCTCGCAAGACAGACACACATTCAACACACAGATTCACAGATAGGACATGCCCTGAGTCATAAGCCCACATACCACCTAGCTTCCCAAATCCCAGACCAACAGACTAGACTCACACAACCTCATCTAGCACTGCCTTGGGTTTTAGGGGGCAGGTGGACTGGTTGGGGGATTCCTGGGTCTTTGAGGGGGCCAGCCCTTTCTCGTTGCCTGTAGCCTGGGAGGTGGGCTCAGAGTTGGGGGGAATGAAGGGGAAAGTAAGAGAAAGAAAAAAAAAAAAACTTGAGTGGGATATTCTTGTTGGGCAGTAGCGCGTGAGTAACTGGGGAGGCTTTTTGTGGTCTGGTGAGTTCCAGCTATGAGTGAGAGTTTAACTATTAATACACTTAATCAAGGACACTTCACACACACAGGCACACATACACAGGCTAGGACAGCACCAGGTGGTGGGGATCAGGGAGGGAGAGCACCAGAATAAAGGGGGGGAAGCCCCAATTCAGGCCCCAGGGGGTGGGGAAAGAGGGAGGAGCTTCTACCCTGGGCCGGCCTCCAGAGCAGGGCCCAGTAAGTGATTCATTTCAGCAGCCCCAGAAAGGTGGGGCTTGACACACAGTAGGTGCTCAAAAAATACACACTGGGGCAATGAATAAGTTATTTACATATAAAAAATAGACAGTAATGATAACAGTAACAACAATAAGTGAGCCCTGCCCCATCCTTGGTCAATAAGGCCATGCTCCAGAGCACCATGACTGGGGAGTTAGTTCTGCCTTAATGGTCACCCCACCAGACAGCAGGCCTGGGCCTGGCTCATCGGTACACCCCCTCATTCCTCCACCCTATTCTGCATCCTAGAAGTCAGCTGACCTCAGCCCAGCCCACACCCCTACCCCCCAGAGAGACCCCCCATTCCCTTCCACTCTCCCATAAATAACTAGGTGGGGCTCTAAAGAAGGTGGAGGTATTTAATTCCCAGAGACTTGGTTCTTTATCCAGATACAACCCTGCTTGCCACACTCCTATAAGCCTCAGTTTCATACTTGCCAAATGGGTAGAAGGCAGGCAAGAAGCTGAAGGAGGGATCAAGAGTGGGGGCTCACAGTGGGAGCCCATGGAACAGAGCCCTGGGCTGGCCTGGGCCCTGGATGCAGAATCCTCCCCTCCTTCTCCCTTCCCCCACCCGGCCCAGCCCAGCCGGGTGGACATTCCAGGCCTCACGTGATAAAGACGAGGCCGCTGGCCCACGGGTAAGTCAACAGGCTCTGTCGGGGGAGAGATAGGAGGCCCAGGCCAGGGTCACCTGCTGAGCCGGGAAAACAGCGGGGCCCAAATACACACATAAATAAGGCGCCAACGGACAGCCAGTCAGCCAAGGGTCTGTCTTCTGCAGAGGAACCTCTGCCCCCACCTCGGAAAGGGAGGGGGCTTGGGAAAGGGAGCCACAAGGCTGGCTAGGCGCTTCCCTGGGAGAGCCCCAGCTCATGCCAAGACGAGGTGGGGGTGCTTCTACCAAGCTCCCCAGGGCTGACTGAGAACTCAGAGGCCAACCTTTCCTCAGCTGTTCCCACTCCTTCCCAGGACAAAAATCACCCCCTCTCCCTCCTCCCCAAGGAGAGAACGATTTCCGTTCTGGGAGGGGGGTGACAGCTGCAGAGCGGGCCACTACCCCCCCCCCCCCAGCTCTTGCTTGAGTCTCATCCAGGGAAACTGCTAAATCAACACTACGCAGTAGTAGGTAGCACCGACCTCAGTCTCCCCCTCATCGCTCTCAAAAAGGGGTTTGGGAAAAGATTTGGGGTACCAGTTCCTAGGTTTCCTGCGGCAGTTGGGACCCAGGATACGGGGTCTTTCGGGAGGGGGGCTCACGCCAAGCTTAGGCCAGTACGACCCGTAAAAACCTCTAATTTAAATGCTCTTAGTTGCACGGAAGGACACCCCCGCCCCCGCGGGCCGGGGCAGCTGAGGTGGCGCCGGGCGTTCAAATAGCGCTCCAAACAAGTCCGCAGCGACCGCGCACGCAGCCCCCGCCAGGCGGCCCCAGCGGAAAACTTGAAAGGGACTCTGTTTGCCAGCCGCCCGGGGCGGCTCCGGCGGGGGCGAGGGCCGAACGATCACACAAGCCCCCCTCCCCAGCGCTTCCTGAGCAAGCGCGGGGGGTGGGGGGGGCCCACCACAAAACCGAGGACTCCGAACAGCGCCCGCCGCTCGGGGAAAGGCGGAGGTCAAGAGGCTGGCTCGCGGGATCCCGGTTCAGCTCTCCCCCAACGCGAAGATGCGACTCGAAGACCACCCAGGATCCAGGGGGCAAAGTAGGGCGCGGCTGCCAGCCCTTCAGACCCCCGTCTCAGTTGGAGGAAGGTGTGGGTCTTTCCGGATGAGTCCCTTACAGAACCCCCCAAATCTGCTGCTGCCTCCTTGCAGCCCATGGCACCAGCCCAACTCCGCGCACCCCTTACGAGCTGGGGGGGGGGGGGGGAAGCTATCTTGCTCCCTCACTAGGCGCTTCAGCTTTTCTGACAGATCCCGGAGGCAGCCCCCCATTTATAAACTGGGGTCACTCACTTTCTGTCGATCCTACAAATAAACAAAGCCAGGCGCACCCCGCGCTCCCCGCCGGAAAGCAGCCCATTCCGGGAGAGGACAACTTCCCCCAGCAAGAAAATTAACACATTCTTCTCGCGGTGGTTCAGCCCCTCGCTCTAGGGAAGCAAAGGGGAGGGGGGCTTGGGGCCGAACTTCATGGGTAAATTTGGGGCCAGTGCAGCGAAGCAGGCGCCTGGGACACCCGCCTCCCACACTCCGCAGCTAGAGGAACACCCCCATTCTCCCTCCCTGGCTTTGCACGCTGCTTGGCCACGCGGGGCTCGGGAGACTGAAAGATTCCCCAAGGCTAGTGAGGACGGGAAAGAGAGGCCGCGGGGAGCGGAGGTGGGGGGGGGGGGGTGATAGTTTGACGGAAAAAAAAAAAAAAGGTCAAACTTGATCAGCCCGCCAGGCACCCCGCGGGCAGCGGGGGCGAGGAACCGGAGGGAAAATGTAGAAGTGGCCGCCGCCCCCTCCAAGTGGGGGGGGGGGGGAGAGACTCAGCCACGCGTGGTCCAGGGCAGCAGTTACCGTAGCCCCCAAAACACAGGGCTGCGAGGGGTCCGACGGGGGGAGTGTGCGCCGCAGATCTCCAATCAGCCGCCCCCGCAGGCGGAGCGCCCGCCCAACACCGAGAGGTGAGGACCCGAGCTCCCGCCGCCCCAGAGCCCTCAAGCTCGGGTACTTGGGGAGGGGACAGAACCCCGCAGGGAGAGCCTCGGCCCCAACGCACGGCGCCCAACCCGCAGTCCCCGACCCTAAAACCCCTCTTTTTGTCTGTACTCAGTGATCTGCGACCGAGCCGACTGCGGCTTGGGGAGGCTTGGGTATAGCAGCGGCCACCGAGCGATCACCGGCGCTAGGGCTCCCGGGCTCCAGGGCTCCGTGGCTCAGGCTGCGGGCGCCCCCCGCCCCTCCCAAACACGGACCCCTCCTTCCCCGTCCCTGGCTCTCCGCACCTGAACTTCGGGGGAGCCCGCGCCGCCAAACTTTCCGCCGACTTGCAGCGAACTCCGGCCCCGGCCGCGCACCGGGCCCCGGGGGAGGAGAGGGAGGTAGGCGGGGAAGGGGAGGGGGCCGGCCTCCGGGGGGGTCGGGGGAGGGCCGTGGCCCGACACCTACCGGCTCTCAGAGTCGTCCAAGCCGCCACGGCCGCCGCCGCCGCCGCGAGGCCGAGGGGGAGGGGTGGGGCGGGGAGCTGCGCTCCGCTCTGGGCACCGCCGCCGCGGTGCGCTCCGCTCCAGCCGCGCCGCCCGCCGTGTCCGGGTCCGGGGCCGGAGTCACGCCGCCGCGGCTGGCCCGAGGCGGGGAGGGGGGGGAGCCTGCAGCACCTGCCCCTCCTCCCCCTCCCCGCGGCCCAAATTAAAAAACAACAAAAAGCAACTAATCACCCCCGAGCGAAGCGCGGCGCGGCGGGCGGAGGGCGCAGCGTGAGGCGTCCGGACTCAGCAGGCGGCGCGCATGGCTGGGCGCGGGCTGGGCAGGGCTGGGACGCGGGGCCCGGCTTCGGGGGGCAAGGTTTGGCCGATCTACTCGCTCGGCTCGGGCGCCTGCTCTCGCCGCCGCCGCCGCCGCCGCCGCCTCTGCTGCCGCCAGTGCCGCCGCCTCTACATCCCCGCTCAGGCTCCGCCGCCTCTGCCGCCGCCGCCGCCGCGCGCCCGCCCGGGCAGGAGCTCTGAACGCTGCCCGGGGGCTGCCGGCAAAACCCGGACCGGACTCGACGCTCCCTCCTCCCCCCCCTCCACCTCAGCTCCCCTCCCTCCTCCCTCCGCCTCCCTCCCAGCGCAGCTCTGGCCACTTGGACGCCGCAGGCTCTGAGGCCGGAGCCGCAGCCACTGCGCCTCGAGCTCCCCGCGCTCTGACGAGGTCGGCCCAGGCTCAGCTCCCCCAGCGCGCCCCGTCTTCCTCTCTTTTCTCCGCAACTTTACAAAAAATAAAAGGACCTTCCCTATTTTGTGAGGGATGCACGGCTTGGCAACCTACCTTACGGGGGAACCCGCCGTCCCTCTGGCCCCTCTCTTCGGCGGGCCGGAAGCGACAGGGACCAGTAGGGAGGGTTTGGCCGCGCCCCTCAGCTCAGGTGCGCGATGGGCCTGGAACTCCTAGCCTAGGGCACTTGGAGCGACACTGGGTTCAAAGACCCCACCCTTCCCCTAGCGCTGTCTGGGACTCAGTGGGCTCTAGTTCCCTGGGAGACAAGGGGCGGAGATTCCTGTCCCCATTTTACAGATGAGAAAACCGACCTGAGAAGGACAATTTGTCTCCTACGCTAGCCCCAGCCCCAGCCCTGACTCCTGGGGCTAAGGCAACTACCTTGTGGTTCCCTGAGACCATGGCCTACAAACTCAGAGCCTGAAACAGTGCCTGGCACAAAGCAGCACTCAATAGAAACTGGTTGAAAGAGAACAAAAGCCCAGTGGGTACAGATTTGTGCCCGAATATCCTTGCCCTCACTCAGTGCCCCCTGTATCTGCCCAGCTTGGGCTAATCCTCAAGCTGCAGATGTCTTCTCTTCACCTCAGGGACCCACAGAGCAAGCCCCACCCGGGCTCATATAATCCCAAACTGCAGATAATCCCAAAGTGGGAAGTTTCTCTGAATCTGTGGAATTCCTAGGGTGGGTTTATGTTTCCTCCAGGCAGGAAAAAAAAAAAGACTGGAGACCCTAATGGGGGAGGGGCAGGGCAGTTGGGGAAGTCTGCCTAGGGTTAAATGTACAGCCCCAAATCGATTGCGGCCCAGATAACAGGGAGTTAACTGCCTCTACTGGGTGCCTCCAGCCACAGGCACGGCCTTGGTGGGAGAACCGAAACCAGCTCCTACCTCACTGCTTCCTCTCCTGCTCTATGTGGCCAGCCTGTCCCCAAGGCTGGAGAGGGCCTTGGGGCCTGGGTCTTCCGGGAGCAGCCACTGGTGCCCATTCTCCAAGCATTCCAAATTTGGCCTTGGGACCTTGACCCAGCCAGGCATAGGGGAGTTAGGGAGGTGTCCAAGGGCAGAGTTCATCTGAAATGTGTTACTTCTCTACTCATCCTGGCCTCCCAAGCCACAGGCAGAGACCCCTCTCCACGCATCATGGACACTACCTCCCTTCCACAAATGCTGAGAAGTGTCCTACTACCCTTAACCAAATGCCAAGAATGGCACCAAAGGAAGGTGTTTAACCCCTCCTCTCTTCTCCTCTCCACTCCTCTCCCCTCTTCTCTCCAGCACCCTTCCTCAAAGCCACCCCAAGCAAACATACCATGTAAGTAAAAAGCAAGGTACTTGCTATGGGAACACAGATTTAAGACAACTGAACACCTCCAGATTATCACCCCTAAACTGCTTAAAGAGTTTAAGCACTCTGAATGTCAGGTACTGTATTGGGCAGTGACCATTTAAGGAAAAAGGAGGCAGGGTCCCCTGTCTGGATGCTCCAGGATCTCCGAGTACTTAGCCTACCTCTACCTACCTTTCTGGGGAAGCTGAGCACTGACTGTGAGGGGAGACCTATTCCCCAGGAGTTAGCAGCAGGTCTCAGAGGAGTAGGAGCAAAGAAATGAAACTCAATCCTGCAGGGCTCTTCCAGTCAAGGGTCAGTGCAGAATCAGGTTCTGCACACCCCAAAAAAGCTTCATGCTGGGTTTCATGGGGGAGAGTGGGTAGTAGCCCCAACTAAGGGAATTACTATTAATTATCCCCCCCCTTTTTTTAAAGACCTCTGCAACCCTCTCCCTCCCCCCAACCTCCCAAGTCAGGAGGGCAAAGGCCAAGGGGCTGCAGGCTGCAATGAAGATGAGCCAAATGATCCCGATGGTGACTTTCTCAGGCAAGGGGTATTGGCATATGCCAGGCCCAGTTTAGAAGTTGGATCTTGGAGCCTTCCCCTTCTCCTGGAAATTAAGAACTGCAGGGAGACTTGGTCAGACCCTCACCAGTTCAACCCAGGTAGGACCAGAAAGGAGAGGGGCAGAATCATCCGTATGGAGAATACAACATGAAGAGGAAACATCACAAGCCATCCACATAGAACTCTCCCCATAACAAATGAGACAAGTGGGGGCACCCAGGAAGGACTGCTGGGAGGTCTCTGGCCTTGGGGGATATCATCCCTACCCCAGACCCTTTCTACAAGAACTGAAGCTACCCTGGTTCATTATTCTCTCTCATTGCCTCCAAAGAGGAATCTTTAGGTTTCACAGTGTTACTCAACCAATCAGCTTAGCTTCAGCTATCAAATTTCTTAAGTCTCCAGCACCTTGAGGAGAGAAAGGAGCCCTGTACCCTTCCCTATCAGTCCAGGACCCTGCATACTGCTCCCCTGGATCCTGGTTATAATATCCCTACCTGGTGTTTATGAAGCCCTACCCTGGGCAGGGCATCAGGCTAAACAGCTAAGGTACATTAGCTCATTTAATCCTTGCCTCAGTCTCAGCAGTAGTAGCTGATGAGGAACTGTACATGAGACTGGCCCCAAAGTTGCTCCTAGTGAAGCTTCTTGCATACACATCTGCCCTGGGATTCACCTGCATCGCTTCCTATAGTGAATCCTCAGAACCCATAAGGCTCCGCCCAAGCCCCTACCCCCCACCCCTCAACACCGGCACAGCTTGGCTTCCCTAATCAGCCCCGCTGACCAACACCACCCAACACTGGTGGTGCCCCTCAGCCTCCCCAAAAGTCCCATTCAAGTTTCTGTGGCTGCATGTACTGTTCCCTCCGGCCAGGAGGGTCTTAATCAAGCCTATCTCAGGAACTCCTCACGGAAGACTGAGAGCATGTGTCACCTCCCACTTCTTTGACTTCCATTCCCAGCCTCAGTTTGGCCCCGTATTCACAGGGCTACCTAGCACACACGCAAAGAAGTACCCTCCTTTGGCAGATGTAGGTACACATCTGTTATTTACTTATTTTTTATCTCTGATTTATTTATTTATTTATTTTTAGAATCTCTACACCCAGCATGGGGCTTGAACTCGCAACCCGGCAATCAAGAGTCGCATGCTCTTTCCACTGAGCCAGCCAGCTGCCCCACCTGAGGAACACCCTTTTGAAGGCAGATCATGGACTGTCTTTCAGTGTCGCTACTCTCTTTACCAGGTGCCTTCTTGCGGTGCATGTGCAGAACTGTAGTTTGTGGCCTGGCTTCGGGGCCCCTCATCTGTCCCCTCCTGCGGCCACAGTGACCACATTGCACATAGTTTTTATTTGTTCCTTTGTCTCCTTGTCCCCTCACTACCAGCACCCATGAGAGCTCTGAGTGAAAAGGAGAATCTTCTATCTGCCCTGCACTTAAAGCCTGGCACTAAGTTGGTGACAGTAGTAACAATCGTAGCCCACATCGTTCTGAGCACCTTCTATGTGTGTGGCCCCACACCAATTGCTTTCTGGGCATATGCTTATTTAATCCTCAGGCTCAGACACCTGCTTAAGGTTACAAAGTAGCAAAAGTTGGATTTAAATCCATGCCTTGTCTGAGGGATCTGCCTTTTCCAGGACTGTCATTTATCAACTAATGATGGTCCTTGATTAAACACCCAAAGACTAGGAAGTGGCTGCGCAGGGAGGGGTGTAGGCCTTAGGGTCTCCAATCAAGATGGCCAATCCTAAGCCTGCTCTAATGTCTGTCCCTCTTTGGGCCCTGCTTCCCTCACTTGTATCAAAGAAGATGGAGCAAGGGCATTTGGCGCCCTATCTCAGGGCAGGGTACAGGATAACCTTCAGTGGGGTCACACTGGATTGTGACCTCAACCAAAATCCCAGGGCAGGACTGGGGGGTGCAGACATGGGCAGGGGAAGAAAGAGGCTTAACTGCTGAGACATAGGCTCGGGCCTTTGGGGTCTCAGCCCTCATGTAGTGACTATTGGCCCTTAGGTCCTGCCACCATGACCCTTGAAGGAACAAGAGAGGTGTGAAACTAAAAAGAAATTTCAGAAAAGCCAGGTCTATCTCTTAGGGGGCCAAGGCCCACTCATCCCTGAGAAGTCAGTTTGGTGACCCCAGCTGGGACCTAAGCTGTATAAATGCGAGAAGGGAGGAGGGCACTGTGGGGGGCAGGGGGAACTCCAGTCACAGAACAAAATAACTCTGGGGTGAAGTTGATAGGGAGCAGAGACCAGGCCAACACACACACTCACACTCTGTATTTTCCCTTGCCACAGACTTGCAGACATGCTACGCACATGCCAGACAACCAGACATAGGCCCATTCTCTGCCAGGCACAGGGAACTCCGCCTGTGTATGGAGGGAAGAAAGGGAGTGGAGACAGTTTGGGGAACATCAGGCCTCTGAGAGTCGCCCTTGACTTCTCTAGGCACATTCATGGTTCAACTGTCTCTACTATGGGAGTGTGACTGCGAGGTCCCTGAGGCCAAAGCTATGGCTCCCTGCACCCTCCCCACCCCATCAGGAAGAGGGAGGGGCCAGAAGGTGACTGAATGGGGCCTTGTTGGAGGGGGGAGGGCAGAGAGTCCTAAACCTGGAGGCCCTACACGGAGCCCAAAGGAAGGGGTGCCCTCGGCATCCAGAAGCCAGCCTGGCCTGAAAATGCTTTACCCAAGAGCTGCGGGCTAGGGTGGGGTGGTATGGGGAAGCCCTGCTAGAGGAGGAGGGGTGGGGCTCACAGACCTGGCCCTGAGAGCAAAGCAGGGTCAGAAATGCCCCTTACACTGGGACTTTTGAGAACAGGACCTAGCCTCAGACCAGAGGACCCCACCCACCAACTTCTACTCTGCCTTCGCCTTCAGACTCCAGAGAATGGGGTGCTCAGGCAAGTGCCTGAGGATGGGCCTGGGACGAACTCCTCTTTGAACTGGCGGGACTGGTTCTGTGTCTAGCCGCCTGGGCAGTCACGGGTTGCCTGCCGGGCCTGGGAGGAGGGAGGCCTCAGGAAGGGGCCCCTTGTAAATCGTTAACTCCCAGAGCCACAGCCACTGCTCTCCGGTCTCCTCAGTCGTGACTCTGGTTCTCAGAGCGCCTACCTGGGGCCAGAAGTCAGAGGTGAGAGGTCAGAGCCAGAGGCCCCAGCACCTGGGGAAGTCCCTCCCCTGACTATCCGGAGGGAGGTGTGGGGGGTGTCAAGGAGGGTGTCTATGGGGAGGCCCTTCTCAAAGTTCAGAGCTGCTCCCCATTGTTTGCCCTCCAGCCTTCCTGCTGCAGCCCTGACCTTTGCCTCTTAGGGAAGAGAGGCAGGAGCTCGGGGTGGGCCTCCTGGGGCAGCCCCTGGGCGAGTCCCAGCCTCGCCAGACCTTATTCTCCCCAGGGAGGTAATTATGCTAGTCCCACCAACTCCACCTCAAGGAGTGTCCCCAGGACTAGATAATGAATGGGCTGAGGAAAAGAGCTAGATACTGTTCAGAACTGGAATAGGACCCTCAGCACTGTTCCCATCCTGCTTCCTGGTGGTGGGGTCCCCCAAGGGAAATAAGAAAGGCTGCCTTTCTGGAGGCGCTGTGCTTGGTTATCCGTTTAGTAATCACATTCCCGTTTTGCAAATAAGGAAACGGAGGCTGTAAGAGAGGACTTACTGAAGCTGAGGCAGCAATACAGGAACAGGGCCAGGATTTGAACCAGCTCTGTGCTCTCAAGCTGAGCCCTTGAAGGGTTCTCTGTCTCCTCAAATTCCTAAGCTACAGGTGAAGAGACAACCTTAAGGCAGAATGGGCTGGACTATCCTCCCCAGTGAAACAATGGGGGGGGGCGTGTATGTGTGTGATTTGGGCAGGAGACCGGCAGTGCCCCCCATCACCTCTGTGAGCCCCTCCTGCAGCTGCCTCTCAGGCCACATACCCCCCAGGTGCTACAACAAGGGAGACTTCGCTGTTTGTTATACACACAACTCCCCCCCCAAGAATTCTCCTGCCTTAGACAGGCTAATGAGGGAGGATTGATGGTGCTACCACCCCTTTCGCTAGGAGATGGAGACCAAAAAAAAAAAAAAAAAAAAAAAAAGTCAACTTTTAATCGAGATTGCAGATTCAGAAAAGATTCATAAGTGAAATGATTCCCCAAGGAAATATAAAAAGTTACTTACGGCACGGCTAAATTGGGCATGCTTCAATCAGGGGCTGTTGAGAAATCATTAAGATATACAAGACTTTTTTAGACATACGTGAGCTCCATTAGAGGGGACTGGGCCCTGAGCTAACGGCCTCCTGTGTCACTGCCTCCCACTCAAACCCACGGCTGCGGAAGGAAGGGAAAGCTCGGAGAAAGCCTACCTGCCAGGCCCCAGGAGCCACTGCCCAGAGCTTGCCAGTGCCCCCAGGGGCCCAGAAACTCTAGCAAGGGAGAGTGGGGCAGAAAGGATTCTGGTTAGATAGAACTTTTCATTGTTCGAGGTAGCTTTCCCCTTTTCCAATAGCATTATGGGGTGTGGCAGGGCTAGAACTAACTACTTCTTTTGAAAAACTAAAAAGGGGACTTCCCCCTTCCTATCTCCTGACCCCTTTCCTATTCCCTGGGTCAGCCTGAGGAAGTAGACACCCTATTTGGACCAGAATGCCCTCTCAGACTTGTGTCTGAGGGCTCTCTGCCTTGAGGGAGGGGACAAGTCATTCTCTTTGGTCCCTCTCTCCAGGGAACACTGGGGGAGTAAACTGCCCTGGGAGTTTTCAAGGATAATCATTAGCTTTTGAGAGGACATTTTCCCCTCCCCATCGTATCCGCCTCCATTTCTCCAATGGAAGGCTTATCTGAAGTCTAACCCTCTTCTCTTACAGCCTGTGGGGATCATTGTGCCCCTTGCTTCCCTTGTCCTAGGACTTCCAGGGTGAGGCTAGGACCTCAGTGAAACATGGAGGGTCTCTGCTAAATACTAATCACCCTCCCCCTTCTGTGCATTCCCAGGGGGCCAGGACTCCTAGGGCCTGGGACAGGGTCAGGCTTTACTCATCTCCATGCTCTGTCAAGGGCCTGGGCCCCAACTGGTGATAAATGGTTTTTGAAGAGGAGGGAGGGCATCAGAATTTGGCTGGGACGATGTGTCCCATGGGGTTGGGTGTGGAGAAGAAAGGAGACAGGCCACAGACTGGTCAGGACTGTTGTGGCAGTGCCTGGACCCCTTTTCTTAGGCCCATCTACCTGTGTAGTCCTGTCCTCCATCAAATCAAGAAAGGCAAGAAACCCGAGCTGGATGGTTGTGGCCACGCTGCCTTGTGGGTGACCCGAACCCGATCCCGGCCAGGCCGAGGCGCTATTTTAAACCCCAGCCCCAAGCTGCCACCTCAGCCCGCCTGGGTCATCTCTGGTTACAAAGGCACTGCCCCTCTCCCAGCCACTTCCTCCTCCCCACTCCGGGACCCCCTAGGCTGGGTGTTGGGTTCAGTGTGCCTTGGGGAAACCTTGCTCTCTGTGGGCCTTGGTATGTCAACTGGCACCAATGCCTCTCTCCATCCCCTCTGCCGTGCCCCTTAGGCACCCTCTTCTACCCACACAAGGACCCGCTGACTTGTATTCTGAATGAAATTTTCCCTATAGGTAAGGGTTCTCTTCCCCGGGAATAAGGACACATGCTGGCCAGAGAACCCAAAATGTTGGGCTCTTATTCTGCCGGACCCAGAGCACACAGTCCAGGATAGGGCAGATGCTATAGGAGAAAAGGAAGTAGGTTAGACATAAGTAGGGACTTCCCAGCAGTGAGACTGCGCCAGAGAACTTTCCCTCACCTCAAGGCCTGTCTGCCTGTCTGCCTGCCTGCTTGTGCAGGAAGAAGATGACTCCAGAGGGAGCCCCCTCCCCAGTCGTCTGGCTCTAGGGCCTGTGGGTTGGGAGACTCAGGCACCATTTAGCCAGCCCACAGAGCCTTCCTCCCTCCCTTTCCTGGAGGGGCCTGCTCAGCACTCAGGTGGACCAGCTGTCAGCTGGCTGGGCCCACTGGACTTGTGTCCACAATCCTCCTACTCCAGGCAGTAGCCCCCACGGGCTCTGAGGCCTGCCAGCCCCACCCCCAGCCCAACAGCAGCCTACAAGGAGGCAGCAGAGACATTGCCAGGACACCAAGGGAAGGGAAGGGAGGAGGCTGATCATCTAAACTGGCTCCCCCCATCTCAAACTGGCTGGACAGAAGGCTGCCCAGGCAGCCTGAGTACCCCCCATGACCGCACCCGCTCCCCCGCCCCCATGCTGTGTAGTCTCAGCAGTGAGGTGTTGGCATGAAGCCTGGCGCAGCTGAGCAGTGACGCCAACAGCCCTGCCATCTCAGGCGAGCATGGTTCCCTCCAACCTGGCAGTTAGGGCCATGGGGGGGGGGGTGTCTCCCACCCTCCTGGGCCTGAGACAGCTGGGGACAAAGCCGTTTTGGAAACCTCCCCTTCCACTATTGCAGAGGATCTCTGGCATCCCCGTGGGTCTTGGCCACCCCTTCCAACCTAGGGGGCTGGCCCTGAGGTTAGACCAGTGGTTCTCAGCTGGGGCTGATTCTGCTTCCCAGGGGACATTGGACAATGTCTGGAGACATTTTTGGTTGTCACAACCGCTGCTACTAGCATTTAATGGGTAGAGACCAGGGATGCTGCTAAACATCCTACAATGTATGGGACAAATAATTAAATGGCCCAAAATGTCAATAGTGCTGAGGTTGAAAAAACCCTGGAAAGACCTTCCCCAACTAAACTGGGAGCCTGGTAGGAGGCAGGAGTCATTCTACACACACACACACACACACACACCCCTCTCTCTCTCTCTGAGGTCAAGGCTTATCACACTCCCCCCCCCCCCCGCCGGGGGGAGAGAAGGTAATTCTGCCATTCTAGCTTTAAAAGCCCCTTGTGGCCTGAGGAATGGTGGTTAGCCTCCTGCCTGTCCACCTACATACCCACCATCCTCTGGGTTTGTTGCCCATGATAGGGGGCCTGGAAAAACTCTTCCCTTGCCCATGAAGGGGGACTCAGACACATCCCACCTACCAAGTAAGCTCCACAGGGCCCTCTCCCCAAGATGATTCTGGGCCCAAGACAAAGCATAGGGGCTGCCCTGCCCCTCCAAGCCTGTTCCCGGAGGCCTGGCCCAGTCTGGAGCTGGTTGGAAGCTCTGGCCTCCTCCTCATCTCCCCGCTCCCTCTCATTTCTATTTAGGAGGCAGCCATGGTGGCTCAGCTCCTATCTCTGGTTTCCTAGGGAGCTCTGCTGAAGCAGCCCAGCCTCCGTGGGTCCATCTGTCAGGGAGGCTGTTCCGCCCCATCGATTGCTGTTCCCAGGGGGCTGTGCTGTTTGAGGGACCCAATGTGGCGGCCAGATAGGAGGGAACCACACCAACAAGAGGGAGTGGGGGCAGCTTGGCAGCAGGCAGAGCTGAGGGGGGCTGACACTTCAGTAAGAAGGAACAAAGCTAGACAGGCATGAGAAATGCAGAGGGCCGGGGGCAGCAAGGCAGGAGGCTGGCTGGAATGACCTCTGAAGCCAGCTGGCACCCTCAGGACTCAGTTTTGCCTTTGGACACACTGAATTCCCACTTGCAAAGACAACAACAACAATAATAGCTGACTTTTATTGAGCAGGAACAGTGTGCCCAGCACTGGATTGGAGGCTTTGCACACCTTTGCTTTCGTATGAGGCTCACACCCGCAAAGCAGGTGCTGTTATGCTCTGACAGGAGAGGACGAGGCCCAGAGAGGTTGCAGCACTTGTCAATAGCCACACAGAGGACCTGGAGCTAGACTTGGAGGCGGGTCAGCCAGGCCCATGGCTGTGCCCCAGCCGCAGACAGACAGCCAGGCCTAGGGGGAGGAGGCGTGTCTGGCCAGGCTAGAGGCCCTGCCTGCCCTCCCCCTCCTGGCCCTCCCCGCGGAGCCGCCTCCTCCCCTGGGCTCTGTGACATCTGCCCTGCTTCCCGGCCCCAGACAGCTGCCCAGAGCCACGTCAGCACTTCCACCGGGGAGTCTGGAAACTGGCTCAGCCCCTGGGTGATGAGGGACTGTCGAGTCCCCAACAGGGTGGCTCTAAGAGAGGGTAACCCACTCAGCTGAGCAGCTGCTAGGTCTGTGTGACCTTGGGCAGGGTTTCTCTGAGCCTTACTTTCCCCTGCTTGGAAAAGCGGCTTTGGGAAAGGGTTCATAAGAATGTATAGTAACGTCCTGGGTGGACAGGGAGCAAGCATTACCCCACAGCCAGAGTTCTGGGGGCTCCTCAAAGAGTCTACGACCCCCAGTGTCCAGGCGGTCATTTGGCGGGCCTCTTGGGGGTGAGAGGGAGGGTGGGGAGGTGTCTGTGCCTGGGCAGCGCTGGCCGGCTGGCTGGGGCCAGAGATAACCGGCGCCTCCCGGAAAATCATTAGCATCTGTTTGGGCCCCGGCAAAGTTGGCCCGCCGGCGCCTCCGCCCCGCAGGAAACGGCGGTGCCCCCCACCCCCGGGCCGCACCGACTGGGCCCCCCTCCTCCTTTTCCTCGGGCTCAGCTCAAACTCCGGCAGTGACACCATCCACCCACCCGGGGAGTGGGGGGCCTGGGTGCAGGGCCACAGGCTCGGCAGCGGGGGGGTTGGGCCGCCCCGTCGGGGGCGTCCTGGCTAGGTGTGGGCGGTCCGGTCCGCGCTCCAGGCGATCCAGGCCGGCTCTTGGCGGCGCCCGCGCTGGCGGCAGCCCAGGGAGTGTGTGGAAATGACACCGCCAGGGCGGCGGAGATCCCCCCTCCTGACATTGGCTGGAAAGTGGAGCAGCTCGTCAGGGACAATCAATGGCGATCGATCGCCGAGCGGCGCTGGCGGACGGCGTGGGGGAGGGGCGGCGGGGCCGGCGGAGGTGGGGGCATCCGCACCGAGGTCAAACAACACACAGACCTGCTCAGGGGGACAGCGGCACAGAGGGGTCACACGGACACACAATCCGTACAGGCAACCACCACTAAGGGCCACTGCCACCACAAAGGAGGCACACTCACTACACGGGAGTTACACCACACAACAGTTTGTGCCATAAGTCTCAACACAACGGGGTCAAACAAATGGTTCCTTTGGACACGCACAGTAGTGTCACAGATACGTAACAACCACAGAGTCAGACACACCATCGTACCACCAGTTCGCCCTGCTACAACAGGCCCTCCCACCACCACCACCTATGACCCTACACTAGACACCCACAATATCACTAGGACACAAAATGAGTCATCCATTCCACTTGCTGGTCTCAAACCAGGCAACAGGAGGGAGTTACATATTCTGGCTGCACAACAAAGTCACACAACAAAGCGAAAAAGTCACACAGCCAAATTATATGTCTTCACCACCACTTCAAAGAACGCTGTCAAACTGGGTGTCATTCTAGGCAACAACCCATCCTGGCAACAGAACGGGATCAAGAGCCCGAGCACGTAACGAGTCCACACAGCACTACAGGTGGCACCTCAGCGGATAAGACACAGATGCAGCTACATCACATCCCCAAACGTGAGTATAATGTGGCACAGTCAACAAACACTGCGGCACAGGCAGAATAGCGTGAACTCACAGGGTTCGGACAGGACGGGCAAAGCACAGGGCCAGGCAGGGCGTGAGCACTCGAAACAAAGAGGGTCCTAGGAGCATTAATAGTTACGAGTATGGCCTATCAATATAATGACTGTAACTATTTAATAGTAGCTCACGCTCTCCAGATAGGTCCGTTCCTCTCCAGGAACCTGATTCACCCCAGCAACCAAACTTGTTCTGCCATTACACACACCTGGGAAACACCACTCAAGTGTCACAAACACAACTAACACTGCTACACTCAGTCACAACAGGGGCCACACATTATCACTTCCCCTACTAGAGAGCCAGACCTGCCACACGCTCTGGGGCTTTGGCAGGGAAACCACCCCCAATCTCTCACCAGGTGCAACTCAACTAGTATATAGCTACTGGCCCCATTTCCTGTCACTCTCACAAAGTTGTAGAACACAAAGAACCCCCCACCCAGCAGTGATCCACTTAGTTACATAGGGTCCCAGACCTCTTACATAAGCTCCTTGAGGCCCATCCCTAATCAATCCATTTCTCCATTTCTCCATTTCCCCATACAGAAACTGAGACATCAGTTCCAGAGCCCTCGGAAAAGCCCTCTCTACTCCAAATCCAAAGCAGGAAACAGGGCTGGCCACTGATCTCAGCCATTTCAACCCCCATTCCCAGCAGTGCATGTGTGTGGGAGCAGGGCCAAGATCTGTCATTCCTTCAACACACCCTTATAGGCCACTCCTGTGGTTCCAGTACAGGGCCAGCTGGGCTGTAGCCCTCACTTCCTCCAGTGAAAGCCTGGGCCCTCCCAGGGGCTTTCAAGAATCCCTTGCAGCCAGGGAGCTCCCCCTAAAGGTTCTACCCAGAAAGACTCCCAACATTCCCTCCCTAGTTTTGCCCAGCTGTGTGGCCTTGGCTAATTCCCTAACCTCTCTGTGCTAGGATCCCAAGTTCTGTCTGCAGACTCCAATAACCTCGTGACCCCCAAATCCCGTGTGTGTACAAGCACATATACATGCATATATCCTCTTGTGTGCGTGCGTGCACATACTCTTTAGGGAGAGAGTTGTAGGACTACTAGGTAGCCTCTGACCTAGGATGGGGGAAACTAGGGATCCTGGGCTGTGTGCAAATCTATAATCACCCCTCACCCTCATCCTTCAGGTAGGGCTGCAAAACACCTGGCAGAGATCTGGCCTCCTTCCACAGGACCTCCCACTCCCAGGTGGCTGGGGGCAACACCTTCCACCATCTCTCTAGGCTTTTATTCACCAGAGGGGTAATTGGACCCCCTTTTTGACCCCCAAGAGAAGTAGAGGGACAAACCCTGGGCAGGGACACACAGGCTGGCCAGGCATGTCCATCCAAAAGTCTACCCATTCTGTTTACTGGTACATTTTTACAGGCATTGCTAAGTGGTGTGTGAGCTGCGGGCCCCAAAGAGGCCCGCACAGCCCACCCCAAGTCCCTGGGTGTCCCAGGAGCAGGCCCTGCTCAAAGAGGGGAAAAGGTCTGGCTTGTACAGAAATCCAGGAAAGATGTCCCATTGTCCATGCATACCCTCCTTGAGAACCCATAAACACCCAAAACCCATAGCCTTCAACTTGGTAAGGCCATTTTCCACCAAGCATTGCCTAAGGGCCAGGTTGGAGGCCAACTGCCCATTTTCTAGACGAGAAAACCAAGCAAAGGAGAGAAAAACTAGTTGCCCAAGAATATACAACTGAAAAGTCATGGCCTGTGATTCAAACACAGATTTGACTCCTGTTTCTCAAAGTCTACACAGCTTAGGCTCACACCCATATGCATAAACACTAAGGAATGTCCCTGCTCACAATTCTCTCACAAGTTAATACACACATGGGCAGCCCCCTCCTGCACATATTCACATACACAAGCGGACCTACACTCTCCCACGCCTGGGGCCTGTCAGCCACATTCTCCATGGCTCCCTCCCTCCAACAGGGACAGGGGCAGGCAGGGAGTCCACATTCCCAGGTTTCCGCCCTGACCCTGAGCCCCCGCCTTCCCCACTCAGAGCACACATTCCTCCTGCTGCAGCCAGATAACCAGCCCCAGGGGGAGGCCTGGGGGAGAGCGAGGCATTCTGGGGGCCAGGCTGCTGGCCCTACTCTGGGTTGCCTAAGTTCAGCTCTATTGCCTGGGTCTGGCCTGGTAGGAAGTCAGGAGCTTTCCTTGCAGGTAGCCCCCACCCCTCTGGCCAGTATAGACCCAAGGCTTCAGTCCTTATTCTGGGGACTTTCTTAGGCCCAGAGCCTCACTCTCCAGAAAGGGACCCCAGGGGTCTCCCACTTCCTCCTTTGAATGCAAAATTCCTTACATAGTTAGGAACTAGAGCAGGACCTGGGGAGCCATCAAGACTCCTCTCTCTCCCCCACTCTTACAGTGGGTTTCTCAGTAGGTGAAAACCTGGGTTCCAGGCACCAACAACCCCTAGGCAGTTTCCCCCATCTGGGGATAGTGGTGGTTAATTCTCACAACTCTGTCTGGGGTGTAGCCACTTGGAGGTTCAGCAATTCTGGAGATATTTGCATATCCAGATGGCCAAGACTGGAATTTCAAAGAATTCCCCAAGAAGAGCCAGCTGGCTTCTGGGTAGTGGCCCTGGAGGCTCACAGCTGTTGGGATGGAAGACTGGGGAGCCTGGAGCCCCAAAATACAAGAGAAATTAAAAAGGATAAAAAGGACAAGGTAAGACAAGACAGCCCTGTTTCTGTGTCCAGGCCTCCATCCCTCAGGGTATGAAAAACTATGTCCTAGTTGCCCAGAGTAGGTGGGCAGGTAAATGAGACTGGGCTGCTTGGCCAGGGTGACAGGGACTGCCTGCCTCTGGGGAAAGGCAACAGTGGGCACCAGGCAGAGAGCTGCCAAAAAATATGAGATCTCCTTATTCATATGAAGTGATGGACAGGCCTTTGCCCCCATGCAACCTGTAGCCAGGTGGGCAAAGGGCAAAGGCCGTGGCTTAGACCCTACTCATCTGTCCACAACCCAGGGATATGGCTACTATACCAATGGGAAGGATAGAGAGGAGCTGGTAGCTTGACACTTCTGGCAGGCCTTGGGCCCTGTTCCCTCACTGTGATTAAGGCTATGATGGAGCCTGACTGAGCTAGGCACTGGCCCATCCAGTTCTGCATAAACTGTGAACAAAGCCAAGCCCAAAAGAGGCCTCCCCACCCCAACAAAAGCCCCTCTCAGGTTCTGTCCAAGCAGATTTACTGACCACCCGCCTCTCAGTTGTCACAGCCGTGGGTCACCGCTGCCCTCTGCTGGCCACTCAGGCACTAGCATCCACTCTAGATACCAACTCACTCCTTACCCAAGCAAATGCATTTTAGTCACCTCCATCTGTGGGCACAGAAATTTAAACCCATCCAACTGTCACCTAAAGTTAGAGGGTGGCAGGCGGGCAGGATAAGCAGGGACAGTGTGTCAGAGGAGAAATCACAAAGGAATCCTGCCCCCCACCTCCACAAAATTTATATCCTAAACTTCAAAAGAAGTGCCCTTTCTATCCAACTTAGAGGTTGAACCCACCCTCATGGAAAGAATACCTGCCCCATAACCTGTTACAATGCACCAGAACCTCTCTTCACCTCTTCTCTTATGCCCTCTTCTTGTTTCCTCCAAAAGAGGACCCGGATGAGATGGCCTGGGGCCATAATTCTAGAAAAGCTCCATTTATCTGGCAGGTCTGAGAAAGCCTTGGTTCCATCACAGGGGAACAGGTGACTGGAAATCCTGGATGCCCTCTTTAACCAGCCACACCTTTCAAAGATGGTAGCAGGTGCTGACTGGGGAAACTGCCCAGAAGGACCTAAACAGTATTGCTCCTTATTTAGCTGGGGGAAGCTCCAGACACCCCTGCAGTCCAGTAGATAGCCTAGCTTTTGCCAACTACCGCAAGCATGGCACGTCTCTCTCACCCATGAGATGGTGCTGATTCTGAAGCTCAAATGTCAGATTGTATTTGGGAGCTATTTCTAGAAACCTCCAAGTAAGGGGGCCCAAGGAGCTTTGGAGCTTCCAAAGTTAACTTTACTTCCTATGGAAAATTTAAAAGCTGAGAAAGCACAATTTGGGGGAGCAGTTGATCCTATGGTCAGGAAAACTAAACCTTCCCTACTCACTCTCATTCACTAGAGGCCCTACAATTTAGATCAGGGGAATACCTTTTAAAAGTCAAGATTTTTAAGTACTTAGGAAGACATTCAAATAGAACAAGTAGCTCAAAGCAAGGAGAGAGGTGCCTGAGAAAATGGTAGTTACATCCCCTAATATCCTTAGAATTCTGTCTGGAAAGGAGCAGAGCATATTCATCAAGGCTGGCGCTGCTCTTCCTGGACAGCAGTCACTGGCAGCTTACTCTGGGCACTCAGGACCCCCAGCCCTGGAAAAGGCCGTTCTACGAGTAGCAACTTACACAGGAGGTTAAAAACAAATAAATCCCACTCAATTAAAAACTATTAAGCGGCTCTCTTGGTGCTAAGATATTCATACAGTTTTACATGTGTTAAGAGGCAGATTATACTCTGCCTCTAATCAGGTGCCGCTCTCCACAAATAATTCAAAGATGAGAAGTGACCATTTGTCACAAAAATTGTCTAACTCTGACTCAACCAGCCCAGGAGCAGTCACTGAGAAAGGCCAAAGCTGGCTGGTGATCATGTTATACATTGAGCCACTAAGGCCCAAGGCTTTAAGGGTTTAGAGAGTCCAACCTTTGAGCTTTCCCACTTGTATCAACTAAGGGAAAATATGGCAAAAATGAATATTAAACATGACAAAGTGATCCCACAGCCAGTCCCAGGAACTGGCCCATCCCAGGAATTGGCCTGGAAATATTCAGAGGAGCCTGAATACCAACTATTTAGCAGCTTGGGCTTTTAAGGCTTTTAAGGCAGGTTTTTGTGGGGCACAGAGAACTCACAGCCACATTTATCCAAGTGTGTGCACAACATAAGATAAAATTAAATAGGAAAAAAGGCTCCAGAAGCACCCCAAAGGAAATTTATTTTCTCTTCTTGGACATTTAAGAACATATACTTGGGAAGTTTGCTACCTTCAGTTATTTTCTATTAAAAATCTACTTTCTGGGCACCTGGGTGGCTCAGTCGGTTAAGCGACTGCCTTCGGCTCAGGTCATGATCCTGGAGTCCCGGGATCGAGTCCCGCATCGGGCTCCCTGCTCGGCAGGGAGTCTGCTTCTCCCTCTGACCCTCCTCCCTCTCATGCTCTCTGTCTCTCATTCTCTCTCTCTCAAATAAATAAATAAAATCTTAA